ACTTCTGGGCAACGTTAGAGCTGGAACTCGGTGCAGAAGGACCCGGCCGTTTGGACCCAGAACCAGAACCGGGGGGAATCGGGCCGTTTGGACCCAGAACCAGAACGGGGGAATCGGGCCGTTTGGATTCGGTACCAGAACCGGGGGGAATCGGGCCGTTTGGACCCAGAACCAGAACCGGGGGAATCGGGCCGTTTGGACCCAGAACCAGAACCGGGGGGAATCGGGCCGTTTGGACCCAGAACCAGAACCGGGGGGAATCGGGCCGTTTGGACCCAGAACCAGAACCGGGGGGAATCGGGCCGTTTGGACCCAGAACCAGAACCGGGGGGAATCGGGCCGTTTGGATTCGGTACCAGAACCGGGGGGAATCGGGCCGTTTTGGACCCAGAACCAGAAACCGGGGGGAATCGGGCCGTTTGGACCCAGAACCAGAACCGGGGGGAATCGGGCCGTTTGGACCCAGAACCAGAACCGGGGAATCGGGCTGTTTGGACCCAGAACCAGAACCGGGGGGAATCGGGCCGTTTGGACCCAGAACCAGAACCGGGGGGAATCGGGCCGTTTGGACCCAGAACCAGAACCGGGGGGAATCGGGCCGTTTGGATTCGGTACCAGAACCGGGGGGAATCGGGCCGTTTGGACTCGGAACCAGAACCGGGGGGAATCGGGCCGTTTGGACCCTGAACCAGAACCGGGGGGAATCGGGCCGTTTGGACTCGGTACCAGAACCGGGGGGAATCGGGCCGTTTGGACTCGGAACCAGAACGGGGGGAATCGGGCCGTTTGGACCCTGAACCAGAACCGGGGGAATCGGGCCGTTTGGACTCGGTACCAGAACCGGGGGAATCGGGCCGTTTGGACTCGGAACCAGAACCGGGGGGAATCGGGCCGTTTGGACCCAGAACCAGAACCGGGGGGAATCGGGCCGTTTGGACCCAGAACCAGAACCGGGGGGAATCGGGCCGTTTGGACTCGGAACCAGAACCGGGGGGAATCGGGCCGTTTGGGCAAAGCGCAGACTGACCTTCTGTGCAGACGCAGGCGCCGTCCACATGCGAGCACGACGCCTGGTGGCGGCAGGCGCAGGCGGGGAGCAGTTGTTGCCATGCCGACCCGGAGGACAGCTGATGGAGCAGTCGTCTCCCTGACAACGACAGAAACAAGGTTATGAAAGCATCTGAGCAACAAAAACATCATAAAAACATCAATGATAAATATTACGTTTATCATTAAAATCATAACCAAATATCAGATTTGCTGGTTTTTGTTCCACTGGATGCGTTTCCATAGAAACGCGGAAATTTAAATTTAATAAAAGAAATTCACTTATATAAACAATTTCAAAAAACCCCCTGATGTAACAGCAGGAAGTTACTACAGCCGAAAACCACGAAGAAGACAACAGGAAGTAGTCTTCTTCATGGTTTGTAGTTTGTTGCGTCACAATCCATTCAATCCAATCCAACCTGTTGAATCCATCATTGTTCTGTAAAATGGCCGACAACAGAGTCCCCAAAGCGCCGCGCACAAAGCCGCCCCCAAGTGGGCGGGGCTTGTTGCGCTGACGTCTCCTCTCATTGGCTGACAGATGATGAGCTGACTCGACATCTTTCCTCTTCAACTTTGTTTGTGTTCGGTTTCTGCAGCGAGTCGGAACCAGACCGTCTGGGATGGAAGCCGCTTGAGTTTCCGGCGGAGCGCTGAGGAGTTTCCTGTGAAAATGCTCATGGCGGCGTTTGGTTTGTTGGCTGATGGCGCCACGATGCGGCCGCAGCATCAGCCTCATTCCGGCCGCTGCTGCATTGATCAGCACATAAACTCTGTTAATTAAAGCTGCGCTTCCAACCTGCTGCTTTAAATGACTATTAATCTAATATTCACAAAGCCGGGCGGCGCGCAGGAGAGGACTTATTAAAAAGTTGGTGAATTAAGGACTTTATAAAAACTTTGGTTATAAATAACCTGCATGGGCTCAATAATTAAAACCATCAAGGGACGACAGGTGACCTGCTGCAATAATTACAGACGGATCAATAGATCCTGATATTTATCATCTAATCAGGACTTTTCACTGTTTCACCAGGAAACAAATTAAACCCACAGATTTCTGGGCAATAAATAAGTTAATATTTTAACGCTGTTTATCTTTTAATTAAAGGGTAGAAGTGAAAACGTGTCCAGCTCGTCTTGATGGATGTCCACCTGCAGAGACTGCAGGATGTTTCTGAAAGGTGCGGCAGGTTAATGAGGACGTCCGTCAGTTCGCCTGGAAATCTGAGGAAAGAATCACTAAATTAAAGACCAGGCAGAGAGAAACAACGAGCGAGACGAGAGGAAACACAAGAATAAAGTCAGCAGAAGAACAACACTCTCACCAGAGGAAAGGCATCAATTTAGCAGAAAAAAGTCGTTTTAACGGAAGATGTTAAAAGATTAAATATTTCCTTATTTTTAAAATTGGTACCAAAGAAAAACTTCACAAAATGCTCAACGTTCCTCATTAATACTTCATCCTACTGACATTATTCTGGTAATATGAGCTGATTCTTTTATTATCATTATATTTTTCTTGAATTATCATGAATTTGTTATCATGCTAACATACAAATGTTAGCATAGCGTTTCCAGATACTGTCCTGAATGAAGACGCTGCAACAGAAAAATGAAATTTCAGACGTTTGTTGACTCATAAATCAGTTTAGACACAAAAACATAAAAGTTTCTTTTCTTTTAATTTGATTAAATCGACTCTAATGTAGAATCAGCCTCAACTTCTTATTCCTTATTAAATAACTCAGATCAACAGGACTGAAACATGTTTGTACATAAATTACACAAAAAAGAAAAATAAAGCAAGAACAGGATGTAAATGTTGTCAGTTTTAATTAAATTCTGTGTTTTTTCTATGACTTTAAACTCCTGGCAAATAAATGCTACAAATATTTATTTCCACTTAAAAACAAATCAATTGGCAAATTAAATTCGCAAAGGTTAGAGAGACGCCGACCTTCCTGCGGATCAAAGTTGTGCGATTCGTTAAAGGCGGAGACATAGACTTCAGACGCAGCTTTGCTCCACTTCAGAGGCAAACTGAGGGAACTAACAAGGCGTCTGCTGATGGTGGAGGAACAGAGTTTGGACCTCAGGTCAGAGGCGGCCATGTTTACAGGTATCGACCTGACCGTCCGAACTGGTGACAATACTCCAAATAAATCCCGTTTAAAGCCGGTTCCTCATCCACATCGGCAGCTTCAGCTCCATCAATTCTCCGTGAATCAATAACTCTGATAAACCAAATGCACATTCATCTGCGGCGCCGTCCTGCTTTCATCTGCTGAAATCTCTGATGTTCTCGGCCCAATTAGAGGCACTGCGGCGGCCTGCGTCCGGCCGGGGGCCCCGGAGGGCATCGGGGGGAATCGGGGGACAGCGAGGGGCATCGAGGGGCAGCGAGGGGCATCGAGGGGCAGCGGGGGGCAGTGGGGAGCCCCGGAGGGCCCCGGAGGGCATCGGGGGGCATTGGGGGGCAGCGAGGGGCATCGAGGGGCAGCGAGGGGCATCAAGGGGCAGCGGGGGCCAGTGGGGGGCATCGAGGGGCAGCGGGGGGCAGTGGGGAGCCCCGGAGGGCCCCGGAGGGCATCGGGCGGCATTGGGGGGCAGCGAGGGGCAGCGAGGGGCAGTGTGGGGCCCCGCAGGGCCGCGGAGGGCAGCGGGGCCCCGGAGGCATTGGGGGGCATCGGGGGGCATTGGGGGACAGCGAGGGGCATCAAGGGGCAGCGAGGGGCAGCGGGCGCCAGTGGGGGGCCCCGGAGGGCCCCGGAGGGCATCGGGGGGCATCGAGGGGCAGCGAGGGGCATCGAGGGGCAGCGGGGGGCAGTGGGGAGCCCCGGAGGGCCCCCGGAGGGCATCGGGCGGCATTGGGGGGCCCCGGAGGGCCGCGGAGGGCAGCGGGGCCCCGGAGGGCTGCGGAGGGCAGCGAGGGGCCCCGGAGGGCATTGGGGGGCAGCTAGGGGCAGTGGGGGGCCCCGGAGGGCAGCGAGGGGCCCCGGAGGGCATTGGGGGCAGCGAGGGGCAGTGGGGGGCCCCGGAGGGCATTGGGGGGCAGCGAGGGGCGGTGGAGGGCCCCGGAGGGCCGCGGAGGGACACACACACTCTAAACTAACCCGCAATCACTTCACAGCTTTTCAAATAAAAAGCTCAACGTGTTTCAGCTAATAGAAATAAACTTTAGTGTTTTATTAGGATTTTATGCAACAGAACAACAAAATAATTACCTAAAATGATTCATGGTTTTAATTTTTATAAATGGGACAACATGTTAGAATGAATATTTATAAATAAACAAAATGTTTGTGTGTAAATAATTTCCCTCTTGGTGTTGAAACACATAATTAAAACAATTACTGGATAAGAAATGTATGAAACAACCATAAACTCATTGGTTTCCATATAATCACCGTTTCCAAGAGCCAGTTTTTAAAATGTTTTCTGCATGAATAAATGATGTTGCTCTGAATTACATTCAGTAGATGAAGTGGCTTCATCACAGCAGATCAACGGTTCTGCAAATATTTATCATTTTGAATCTGTTCTTCAACCATCGGACCGGAGCAAAGTGTTATTTTACCCGGCTTTACAACGGCCACTGTGGATGCTAACATTAGCATTAGCTGCTACATGCTTAGCATTGAGATGCTATTTTAAGCTAGGCTAACTCCTTGGTGTTTTCCAGCGCCCAATCAGATCGTTCAGAAGCAGAAATGAACCTGCAGCTCTGCTGTTAGCGAATGTAGCTGTGCATCAGATTTTAGGGACGTACCAGAAACACACGACTTCAAAGGTTCCAGCAAGAACCTTCTTTTTTAATTAAATGTGATTAAAATGTTTAAAACATGAAAATCTACTTAATTAATTCATTGAAATCAATTTATTGAAGTATAATAGAATACATTTATATTTACAATATATTTAAAATGTTACTGTGTAATAAAGTCACAGTTCAGTTTGTGGAGCTAAAAACAAATTTGATTAAAATCTGACATAATTCAAAGACTTTGGCAACATAAAAACAAACGTTCAGTTTGTTTAGTTGATTTGGACTGAAAGTAAAAAAAGTTGTTGACTGGATTTGATCACAGTTTGAATGTTCTGGACCATCTGATGTGACGATATTAAAATATCTGTAATTAATTGATAAAGCTCCAGTGGAAACATTTTCAGGAAACCTGGCATCGAGTCGATAACGTTACAGCAACCTCTCCTCCTGAACGAGAGACGATCATTTCCTGTCACACCTGCTCTCCAACTCGGCTCCTCGCACATGAAACTAAACAAAACAGAAATTATTTTAATATTTGCAATAAAAACCCATATTTTCTGTCGTCTGGAGGAGATCTGAAGCTGAGCATGTTTTCTGAAAGGTTGTTTTTTTCTTCCCCTCGTTACTCTGACCTGCAGCTCCTGCTGAGTCAGCAGGTCCAGCAGCTGCACGCATTCCCTGCACCTGCATGTGAAGGCGTCGCTCAGGAACAAGCTCCATTCTTCACAGCAGAGACGCAGCTCCAGTGTTTCTGAGGAAATCCCTTTGATTTGTTGCAGCCGTTTGCCGCGATCGGACCGGCGGCTGATGCAATCCGGTGAGACGCGGCGCGTCTGACAGCCGTTCATTAGACCGGGTCGAGTCAACAGCAGCGCATCAAAGCTTCCACCCAGAAGAAAGAAAACTTTCCCTCCGCTCATTATTTATCGCCTCATCAACTAATGACGGCTGAAGTTAAGAGCAGAATTTACTAAATTACACAGAGTTAAAAGTTGATCTGTTGCATTATGGGTAAGCAACAAAAAGCTTTTCTGAACGTTTAAAAATGCAGAAAATAAAGCAAATGAAACTTTGTTGGTTTCAAAACAAACAAATCACAAATATCTTAACAATAATGCATAAAACACCAGGAGAGATTATTAAGAACTGATTATTAAGAACTGATGATAAAAGATGTTTTAAACTGTTCGCTTCATTTTAAATCAATCTAAAACTAAAACTCTTTCCACATCAATGTGGAAGATAAAAAAATCATTTCTGCCTTAAAAATGACAAAACTAAATGAAAACACACAACAGTGTCCTGTAAAAGAAACGATGAAGAAATGAATATTATCATTCCTGCTGCTCTGTCACATTAAATCCACTGAAGTTTGATGAGATTAAAAGGGTCTGAATATTTATGAGATATTGGAATGAAACCTCAGCAGATGATGGACGTAACATCCAGGATCCGTGTTTTTTTTGCTCTCTAGTTTCATCTGTAATATTCGCTTCCCTCCGGCAGGTCGGCCATTTTGAACGGTGTCGTGTTTGTTCACTCACGATGAACCCCGGCGCGCAGACGCAGGCTCCGCTCACGCCGTCGCAGTCGGCTCCGTTGGCGCAGTCGCACGGCTCCTTGCAGCCGTCGCCATAGTACCCGGCGGGGCAGGTCTCGTTGCAGTAAAGCCCCGCCCATCCGGCGGCGCAGGTGCATTCCCCGGACAGCGGGTGGCAGCTGGGGGGCAACGGGGAAGAGGCTCTTAGACCAGGGCTGCACAAACATTTCACATGAAGGGCGACGACTGCCAAGTTAAAATGATTAAAAACAGACACATAAAAAAGTTTTTGGGTAAATTATCAACATTAAATACAGGAAACAAAAAATAAAAACAAACCCAAAATGGACCAAAAAGTGAAAAATGAAGCCAAAGCTGAAACTTTGCCTTCAATAAAAACAAATGAAATGAGAAACATTTTGATGAAACTCGCAGAAATAATCAGTTTCAGCTGCAGCAGAACGAGCCGCTGCGTTTGTTTTATAACCTCATTATTTCGCCCAGTTTAATCTGTGGAGTAAAAGTTACTGGATGCAATTAAGTTATTTTATTTATCAATTAATGAATAATGATTAATCACATAATTGGCACATGCAACAGATTTCTTAATTTTTTTTATACCATATTAGAAAAACATTAAAATATGCAAATGTGCCCTTTTAATAAGAAAATGAATCATTTTTGATTAAAATCTGTATATTTTTGTGCAATTGAGCTTCATTCCTGCTTTCAGAGGCTGTGTGCTCCAGTTAACGATTAATCGATTAATAAATTAGGACAGGTTACTTAATTGATGGTTTCAGCCTCACTTTTCAATTGAAATGAAAGTAAAATTGTAGTTGATAAAAGATAAATATTTTATGTTATTGCTCAAGTTTTCTTCATTTTTATTCAATTTGCCTCATTTCACAGTAATTTGTTTTCGGCGCTTCGTCAGCAGCAGTCGGTGGGCCGCACAGAATCTCTCCGAGGGCCGCAAATGGCCCGAGGACCTCACTTTGAACATCCCAGCCTCAGTAAAACCTGAGGAAGCACGAGGAGTGGAACGTGCTGTTTGCCCCACCTGAGCGTGTTGTTGCCCTTGCAGGGGCAGATCTTGTCGCAGAGCAGTCCGTAGAGGCCGGCGGGGCAGAACCGGTCCTGGCAGCTGGGGCCCTTGAAGCCCTCGCTGCAGAGACACGCCCCGTTGATGTGGTAGCACCGGGCCCGGTTCAGGCAGTCGCACTTATGGGCGCACTGCGGGCCGTACGTTCCCACGGGACATTCCTCCTGGCACCTGGACAGGAACAGGAAGTTACATCATCCTGCTGCCCTGGTTACCAGGTTTCATTTTTAATCCAACAAACGTTTCCATCTGTCTGTCTTCAAAAATATTTATTTACACTTTTACATCTCGGTTTTATAAAATTCATTTATCTTAATTCATTGAACCTTAAAACACTGAAGTTAATGAAAATAAATAAAAATGGAAAAAAAAATAAAAAAAATACTAAAAATAAAATAAAAAACTAAATAAATAAATAAAATGCACATATATATCCAAAATAAGAAAATAAATAGTATAATAATAATCCAAATAAAAAAAAAGATGCTTAAAAAATTATCAGATAAAACAACATGCAGCACGAGAAACTAAACAAAACATCAAACGTAATGGCAGAATTAAAATGAAATAAAATTTATGAAAGTAAATTAAAACCTGAAGCTAAAATAAAGTTTTAAAATATAAAGAACATTTATAAAAGAAAAACATAAAATATTCAAAAGTTGAAAAGAATAAAATAAAATGAACCAGAATAAAATAAAAAAATGGAAAAATAAGTAAGATACTAAAATACAACAATAAGAAAATAAAAAAAATAAAAACTCTAAATAATTTTTAGAAATATAAAAATAAATGTAAACAAAGTGCTGAATTAAAAATCTTAAAAGTGAATAATTTCTCCATGCTTTTTGATATTTAATAAACAGAAACCAGTCAGAACCAGTGGAGGTCCAGTTTATGGCTGATGAATCAGATTATTGTTGATTTATTTTGTTTTCTGGAAATGAAAGCAGCTGTTTGCCTCCAGATGTTTCTGCTTCAGATCCTCCTGCAGCCGCAAGCCGACGGCAACGCGTTTGACTTGCAGATGCCTTGTTGGGAGCTTTATTAGACACGGCGTTATTAAATGACTGCGGTCGACAAGGCGGCGGCGGCGCCGTAAATCCTCCTTTATGAAGGCTTTTATTGGAAGAGTTGCCGAGCGGCGTAAATCCAGCTGCAGGATCAGCGAGGAGGAAGCAGTCTGCGCTGCCGGGAAAACCTTTTGTTGTGTTTATTAGCCTGCACTCAGTGATATTAACGAGGTCTTGAAAATAATGGAAACACCTGCCAGAGGAACATGATGGCAGATAATCAGTTAATGTTTTAATTCAACGTTTCATTCAGGAGTCGGAATAAACTGGAGAAATCCTCCTGCTTCCTTCCAGAGTTCCTGATAAACTTTCAGGACTTCCACTGAAAAACCTCCGTTGGCGGATTTGGTTGGAGGACAGCAGCGCCACGGCGACGGGACTCGGACCTCAGACTCCAGCAGAGGTCCGACTCCAGGCACCCAAAGACTTGGATGACTCAGCAGTCGCCGGGCGGATCAGAGAAGGTCCAGAACCGAGTCCAGAGACGCTGAGGGAGTTCAGAGTCTCATCATCAACTCCTCCTGTTAGACCCGGTTCCACTAGAACCAGAACATCTGCTCCACCTCCAGCTGCTGTGGTTCTGAGTCAAACCAACCTGTTCCCCTCCTGGCCTGTGGGGGCGCTGCACCAAGAACAACTGAAGACGCTGAGAGCAACTTCCTGTTTCACCAGATGAAACAAGATGGAGGCATCAGAGTTTAGTGATTTCTCTTTAGTCTTTGGCTGAAGAGCAGGAGCCATTTCTGCTGCTAGCGCTAGGCTAGCATGTTAGCTTAGATTGGATTTACCCAGAATGCCCTGCAATGAAGTCCGCTTCCTGCTTTTGGAGCGGTCTCCGGTCCGCTTGGCTTTCACATTCAAACTGAACCCAGACTAAGGTCTGGAGGACCAGAGGACCAGAGGTCAGAGGTCGATTAGCATTCACACCAACTGGACCAGACTTTGACTAGGCAGATGGACTGGAGTTGGATTAAGGTGGACTGAACAGAGCCGGAGGGAATGATGCCGCCTTAAAAAGCTCAAGAACCTGTTAGAGAAAGCCGGTTCTGTTCTGTGGGTCATAATATAAAAACATGATGGACATGAAGGAGCGAGTCTTCAGTCAGAAGCGTCTGCAGACTCTGTCCTACAGACTGCTACAGCAGCAGACATCAGCCTCAACAAGAACACCCAAATCCCACTTTTGGTTAATGGATGATTTTTTAAATTAAGTTTGTTACAGAATTAAATATTTTTAGTACAGAAACAAAAATAAACACTAAAAAATCTGATTTTACACCGAAAAGAAAAAAAGAGATAAAAATCTGAATAATGAACAGATCTAACAATAAATGTTAGGAGTGGGAAGAATCGTCCTTCAAACATTCATTTATTATTCAGAGGCTGATGAATGAGGCTGCTGCTGAACCGGCCGGCCCGGTGTCACTCTGCCCCTCAGGAGGTCAACAGGCTCAGCGTTGAACCCACAACCCCAAAGGCAGCAGAGTTTCTGAAAGAGGCGGCCGAGTCCGGCCCGCTGCATTCTTCACACGTCCAGCAGCAGAAACCATTAAGAAACAGACAAATCACTCAATTAAAGCGGCGCGGTGAGGACTTCTGTTGAGCGTCACGTTTAAATCACGGCGACTCTTATCTGGGATAATTCCATTAGAACCCGGACGAGAGGACGAGAAGGCAGTCTGGGAATTATTCCATGTAGGCTAATTCAGCTGTCTGGAGCCGGATGGATGGAAGTCATTTGGCTGGAATGAGAATAATGATTGTGGTGGAGGAAGATGGAGGCCGCAGGATGGAAGGGTTATAGCCGGGGAGTCCAAGCTGCGGGTCGGGGGCCATTTTCAGCCCCCAGGCCGACTTTCTACGTCCTGATGCAAATGGAGACGTTTTATATTTAATCACTGCAGACATTTCATACCAAATAAAGTGGCTTATATCTGATGACTTCCACTGCAAAGCGGACTTTGATGAACCAAACTCTGCTAAAATGGCTTCAGTGAAAACAGACACTGAACCAATTCCAGCTTTTACTGCCGAGACAAAGAAATTCAATCCAGTCCAGAAAAACTTACAAAATGGATTACCTTTCTTTTTTTTTTTATTAAGGCAAATGGGCAGACTTCTCACTGAGCTTCAGATCTGCACTGATTATCGTCTTCTTCCTACTTTAAGTAACTTACAGGAAGTGAGGAGGGTGCAGCCGCTAATCCGCTAATGCACTAATAGCAGGGCTAACTTCCCTTTAGCAGTTTAGCTAAGTTTGAAAATGTTTAGCAAACTGAACTTTCCTTGATTTAGTAACATTGAATAAATTCATAAACTAAATTAAACACAAGACAACAAGATTGAAACAAATACAACAGCTGAGGGATTACAGAACATCTAATTATCTTGTCAAAGTTAAACTGTTGCTCAAGCAGAGATGAAGTTAGCACTTTAGCATTAGCGTCCCCTAAACACCGTGATGGTGTAGCGCTGTAGCATTAGCGTCCCCTAAACACCGTGATGGTGTAGCGCTTTAGCATTAGCGTCCCCTAAACACCATGATGGTGTAGCAGTTTAGCATTAGCGTCCCCTAAACACCGTGATGGTGTAGCAGTTTAGCATTAGCATCCCCTAAACACCGTGATGGTGTAGCGCTTTAGCATTACCATCCCCTAAACACTGTGATGGTGTAGCAGTTTAGCATTAGCATCCCCTAAACACCGTGATGGTGTAGCAGTTTAGCATTAGCGTCCCCTAAACATCGTGATGGTGTAGCAGTTTAGCATTAGCATAGCCTAAACACCATGATGGTGTAGCAGTTTAGCATTAGCGTCCCCTAAACACCGTGATGGTGTAGCAGTTTAGCATTAGCGTCCCCTAAACACCGTGATGGTGTAGCAGTTTAGCATTAGCGTCCCCTAAACACCGTGATGGTGTAGCAGTTTAGCATTAGCGTCCCCTAAACACCGTGATGGTGTAGCAGTTTAGCATTAGCGTCCCCTAAACATCGTGATGGTGTAGCAGTTTAGCATTAGCGTCCCCTAAACACCGTGATGGTGTAGCAGTTTAGCATTAGCGTCCCCTAAACACCGTGATGGTGTAGCAGTTTAGCATTAGCGTCCCCTAAACATCGTGATGGTGTAGCGCTTTAGCATTAGCATTGCCTAAACACCGTAATGGTGTAGCAGTTTAGCATTAGCGTCCCCTAAACACCGTGATGGTGTAGCAGTTTAGCATTAGCGTCCCCTAAACATCGTGATGGTGTAGCGCTTTAGCATTAGCATTGCCTAAACACCGTAATGGTGTAGCAGTTTAGCATTAGCGTCCCTTGACTGCACATTGGATGCTCCTATTTTGTGGCGCAGGAAGCAGTCTACGCTGCCGGGACATTTCATTTCGCTTCTCCTCTTAGATCCACACTTGTACATTTGATTTCATACCAGGTAAAAATGTGATGTTTTTGCCCAGTTGGGGGCACCAGTGGGTCCTGAGCTGCAGGTAGCTCACCTCTCTCCGATGTAGCCGGCGGTGCACTGACACACGCCGCTGATGTGGTCACACAGGCCTCCGTTCTGACACGTGCATTCCTCGGAGCAGTTGGTGCCGAACCAGCCGAAGGGGCACGGCTGGGCGCAGACCGGACCCTGACGGAGAGAGGAGCGGGTCAGAACAAACTCACTTTCTACTCTCTGCACATTTTATGGAAAATAAAGTATTATATGGGTCTAGCCGTATTCATAATTTGACCGATGATATTTCACCAAAGTCACTAATTATCTGGCACAAACGTAAATGATTTGTTTTTGCGTAATTCATTGCTAACGGATCGAGCTTCAGCTGTTGGACAGATGGATCCACATCGGACTCTAGAAAACTTTGAGCGGAAAGCCATGACTGCAAGGCTTCCAGGTTCCCAAAGCATCATACCTCCACCACCTTGTACATGGTTTCCAGATGCAGCTCTGGTAAGCTAACTCCTGCTATCCGCCATCTTGTTTCTGGAGAGAAGCGGCGTTCAAGCAGCCATGCTGGTTCAGGTCAGGCACTTTCTGCCTCTTCTTCTCTGCTGCTGCATTTTACATTCTGCTAAATCACACGCTGCTGCTAATCTCAGCCCAGATCTACAGAACGGATTATGTTTTAGTTTACTGTGACACTAAAGGTGTTCCATACAGTTTGGTGTCGCTCGGCTTTTCTCTGTTTTGTGCAGCGAGAATGTTTCTGATGGTTTGCGGCGTGGCGTGTGGCGTGGCGTGGCGTGTGGTGAGGCGTGTGGTGAGGCGTGCAGCATGGCGTGTGGTGAGGCGTGCAGCATGGCGTGTGGTGAGGCGTGCAGCATGGCGTGTGGCGTGGCGTGTGGCGTGGGGTGAGGCGTGCAGCATGGCGTGTGGCGTGGCGTGCGGCGTGGCGTGTGGCGTGGCGTGTGGCGTGGCGTGTGGCGTGGGGTGAGGCGTGCAGCATGGTGTGCGGCGTGGTGTGTGGCGTGGTGTGTGGCGTGGTGTGTGGCGTGGGGTGAGGCGTGCAGCATGGTGTGCGGCGTGGTGTGTGGCGTGGTGTGTGGCGTGGTGTGTGGCGTGGGGTGAGGCGTGCAGCATGGTGTGCGGCGTGGTGTGTGGCGTGGTGTGTGGCGTGGGGTGAGGCGTGCAGCATGGTGTGTGGCGTGGTGTGTGGCGTGGGGTGAGGCGTGCAGCATGGTGTGCGGCGTGGTGTGTGGCGTGGCGTGTGGCGTGGCGTGTGGTGAGGCGTGTGGCGTGGTGTGAGGCGTGCAGCATGGCGTGTGGCGTGGTGTGGCGTGTGGTGAGGTGTGTGGTGAGGCGTGCAGCATGGCGTGTGGCGTGGCGTGGCGTGTGGTGAGGCGTGTGGTGAGGCGTGCAGCATGGCGTGTGGTGAGGCGTGCGGCGTGGCGTGTGGCGTGGTGTGTGGCGTGGGGTGAGGCGTGCAGCATGGCGTGTAGCGTGGTGTGCGGCGTGGCGTGTGGCGTGGTGTGTGGCGTGGGGTGAGGCGTGCAGCATGGTGTGCGGCGTGGTGTGTGGCGTGGCGTGTGGCGTGGCGTGTGGTGAGGCGTGTGGCGTGGCGTGCAGCATGGCGTGTGGCGTGGTGTGTGGCGTGGCGTGTGGCGTGGCGTGTGGTGAGGCGTGTGGCGTGGTGTGCGGCGTGGCGTGTGGCGCGGCGTGTGGTGAGGCGTGTGGCGTGGCGTGTGGCGTAGCGTGCGGCGAGGCGTGCGGGCCGTACCATCCAGCCGGGCGGGCAGCAGCATTCCCCGGTCACATGATGGCAGGTTCCTCCGTTCTGACAGGAGCAGCGCTGCTCGCACATGGAGCCGTGTTTACCTGGAGGACAGGGCTCCTCACAGCTGCAGGAGACAAACAGAAACATCTTCATCTGCAGCAACGCAGCAGGGGAAAGATGCTGACTTCATCCGCTCACACAAAAATTATTATTTACATATTTCAGCAGCATAAGACAGCAGGAGAAAGATTTCCCCCTACCGAACCTCAATCTGAAAATTAGCATAAATTCCTTCCCATATCTTCATCATATATTGTTTTCCTGGGGAAAAGTTGCATGAAGACACAAATTAATGTCTCAATGCGACAAAAAAATGTTAAAAATCTAGAATAAAAGCTTCCAGATTCTCTTTCCTCTCTATTGTGCTTTTTAAAATCACACTCTATTTTTATAAAACATTTCAAAAAGTGTTTTACATCAACAACTGTGAACCAGCAACAAACATAACATTTTATCATAGAAATCATCGGATATGATGATCCATGTTCCAGTTACTGTTAATCAAAGGCAGCTGTGGGTTTTCAGCTTTGATTTAAAGGAACTCAGCAGCTGCGTTTCCATAACTAATGTCCCCAAAACATGAAAAATCATATATGAAAAAGTTTGTTTGCGCAATAATTCATTAAAAAACACACAGAGCCATGATCCTCCAACTACTTCCTGTTGTCTTTGTCATTTCTGCCAGTAGTAATTTTGATACTGATGTCACATCCTGGATTATTCTGAGTTTTTTTGGTGTTTTGATTCTGGTTTCTTTATTATTCTGTTTCTTTGATCAGATCAGCCTTGATGCTGTTTTACCTTTGTTCAGTTCTTCTTCTGGTGATTCTAGTTTGTTTATTTCATTTCATTTCCAGTGATGCTCTTTGTGCTTCTCTGGTGTTTTTTGTTCTCCTCTGGTTCCCTGAACTCCCTGTGATTTTTAGTTTCATCTTTAAAGAAGCTCCCAGCTCATTTTACTCCATCTGACAAACACCAAGACGAGCAAAAAACTTTTATCAAACAAAAAAGTGTTTTAAATAGCTGTTTCCATTAAACAGATTTATTTTTTGATTCCAGTTCAGTCGTTATGTCGATGGAAATTCAGCTGATGCTTCGTCTGTTTTGCAGTTTTCTGGGAGTTTGTTCCAGATTTGTGGTGCATAGAAGCTGAATCCTCCCTGATTGACCAGAACCAGAAAACTGATCCAGCTGCTGCAGCAGCAGCAGTTAGCTAACCCTACCCCAACCCTAACCCTAACCCTAACCCTAACCCTAAGCCAGTGATTTCTAAGCTAACAGTCGTATTTATTTGGTGAATTACTGTGTTTAGTTTCAGTCTGGGTTCTGGTGGAGCCACTCACAAGCTGCCGGTGTAGCCGGGCGCGCAGAGGCACTTCCCGCTCTGGTGGTGGCAGGTGGCGCCGTTGAGGCACTGGCACTCCTGCATGCAGTCTTTGCCGTAGAGGTTGTGGTGGCAGTGCTCCTCGCAGCGCCAGCCCTGGAAGCCGTCGGTGCAGACGCAGGCGCCCGTTATGGGGTTGCATTTGGCGCCGTTGCGGCACTGGCAGCGGTTGGTGCAGTGGGGGCCCCAGAAGTCGCTCTCACAGCCTGAAGAGAGGAAGAGAAGGTAAAAACCAAACACTGCCAAACAGGTGGAGAATGTGAACTTTGAACTGTCAGAATCAAATGTAGTTCAGAATGTCAACAATATTTACATTTTGGAAAATCAAAACTCAGCAGGATATCAAGAAAACTGTTGATTCTTTAATTTAGTTTATTTGTAACAGAAAGTTCAATGTTTATTGTTTGAGAATTATAAATAATTATGTTTGAGTTGATATTTTGACAGTTTGGTCTAAAAACATTTTTGTTCTCGCTGTAAATCTTAAAGTTGCCTGTTAATTGAAAACAGTGAAGCTTGTTTGTTTGCTGCAGGTTTTGACAAATCTTCACACTGTGAGGTTTTTAACGCAGCTTCTCATCAAGCTGAGCTCCGTTCAAATCTCCTGCACACATTTCCTTGCTCTTAATTAATATTTCATAAAGGAATTTGGCTAATTATTACAGCTGATGAGACAAATTGTTTTCATGTCATGAAGGAGATTAAAATGAACCGGGGAGGCGGGAGCTTAAATTTATCCGCTTCTCTGCTAATTGGTTGTTTATGGATGTTTACGTCTTAAACAGCAGAAATATTTCCATATATGTCTAACGGCTTTCCTCCTGGAAAATGTCCAAACGTCGCCTGCCGGCTCCGCCACTGAGACGTTTCTCCTCTGATCCAGAACCGCCTGAGGTTCTGATCTCAATGACAAACATCAGAACACAAATAATCAGAACAGCAGCAGCAGCAGCAGGTCCAGATGGCGTCGTCAGGCATGTTTAGGTCGTCAATGATCACATGTAGCAAAAACCATCAAAAAGTGGAACAAAAATCAAAATAAATTCAAAGTTTTCTTTCTGAATCTGAAAATGAAAACCCAGATCCGCCTGATGAAATGATTGGAACAGTTTTCATGTCCGTCATGATGACAGCTCTCTGGACCTGCTTGAGCATTCGCTCCACATTTCCCTCTGATGTTAAAGAGGACAAACGTCTCCGCCGCCTGTGTTTAGCATTCAGGTTTGAATTAGCTGCAGACTGCAGGAATCATCTGGGAGAATTAAATGTGACCTCTGCTGCTGAGGAGGAACCGTCTGCTCCAACTCTGATTGCTCCTTCATCCTGGGTGGAAACTCTCCTCTTCCTCAGATGAGCAGCAGCAGGTTATTTTGGATTAAGTTGGATCAACAGGAGGTTTATTCTGCTGGCTGAAGCTGAAGCAGAGCCGAGTGGAGACAAACTGTTCGACATGCAGCTCTGATGGATCTGCATCAGATCTTCCTCTTCACTCAGAAACTCTCTGGCTCTCAGACATGAGGACAGATGCAGATTCAGACTCTTATCGGCTTTAGAGACGCTTCACTCCGCCGCCGCAGCGAACAGACTCCTCAGATTTGTAGGGAGAAAACGAATCGAGGAGAAGAAAGATGGGAAACATGTTTCTGATCGGAGATCTGAGGGGCGGAGGCAGGAAGTGGCTGCTTCATCCATAAAACACTCGCGGTTTTCTGCTCTCAGTTTGGTGATGGGATGCTTTCCTCCAAGCTGCTCCCAATATTTACTTTACAGAAATCGTACAGTGAGGTGATGAATCATGGAAATATTCCAGAACCCGATGGGAAGCTAATGGGACGGAAAAAACATATTATTGTGTTTTATCTGAGAAAAGCACTTCTATGTTTGATGTATGATTATATGCTGAGCGCAGGGACTCTGAGTGAGCGGCCATTTGTTAGGAGGAAAACCCGGGAAACGTTGTGACCAGCGGCAGGATGAATGGAGAAGGCGATGGTTTTTTCTGGAGTCACGGTGGCGCTTTCACAGATATCCTAACGCTAAATGTTTCATCAGGACTGTGGTGGACAGAGCAGACAACGCATTCATCACATCAACACTCCTCCTTTTCAATCTTTCCCTAATTCACTTCCTCCTGTCCGCCGTTTCCTCCTCCCGTCCTTCTCTCCAAGACTCAGAGTTTCTGCTCACTTCCTCTAACTAGTGAGCCGGCACAGTCAAATCCTTTATCCTCACACCGCCTCAATTATTCAGCAGCAAAGAGTCCAAATCAAGTGACTAATGACTTTGATCAAGAGTAGCTCGCTGGCACTAAGGAGAACTTTCTGCACTAAATTAAGAGCAGTATAATATGGGCTGGCAAAGGCCAACTGCTGCAGGATCATTTGGAGGTTTGTCCACAGCGGCTCTCACCTCTCAACGCCAATAAAAACCCACAAGCTGCTGATTCTCTCCGGTTTCTGAGAAAAGCGCCGCAGAGACCAGAACGCATCTCCGACCATCAGAGCTGCGTAAAATAACGACAGCAGAATAATTCACAGTAAAATAACTGGAGAGATGCACAGACAGAAACAAGCTGGTTTTGACCCAACCATGAACTCAAAAGTCTCATTTTCTCTGGTCAGTGAACGCATCTTAGTCCTTTCAGGCTGGATGTGAAAGACACACAGCTGATGAGGGGAGTGAAAGTTTCCTAGCATCGGTGATGATTGGGCATTTCACCCGGAAGCACTGAAACTTCAAACAAAATGTTGCAATCATAAAAAACAAGCAAAATGGAAAACTCCCTTCGCTAACGGGAAGTCCTCCAGACCACTAGGGGCAGTGGTCTGGAAGGGACAGCAGCATATTTACGCTGGCATTATTACAGACTCCAGACTCCCCCTAGTGGCCTGGAGGTCTTATGTTTGCAGAGCGAGTTCACGTCGTTCAGTGGTGGGAACATTTCAGCGCTAATAGCAGAGCTAAGTTTTTGTTTAGCACTTTAGCATCATTAGCTTCTGCTCAAAGCCGTTTTGGTGTCGCAGCAAAACGTTAGCAGAGCTAATGTTTATGATTACTGCTTTATGGTTAGCGTAGCTAGCTTTTCGGTTGCTGGCAATAAGCAGCTTTTTCCTTTTGCTTCCGTTTCCTGCAGCTGCAGCATTTTTTATTTGTATACATTTTTGATGTTTGTGTTTTATGGAGTTCGCATCATTCATGTGTTTTTATGCACATTTTCTCTTTGATCAACCTGAATGAGACTGATGTCTACGACTGATACAATGGCCTAGTCAAAGTACAGAACTAAGTTCCTGATTGAACTGAAGCAGCAGTGGAAGTTCCTCCATGACGGCGCCTGATAAACCCGACAGGAAGTGATAACTCAGCTGCTGGTTTCTGTAAACGCCTCAGACGGTGTGACTCTTTCCTCCATGTTTCGCTGCATGTTTGGAGGAAATAAAACATGTTCAGGAAGCTTGTAATCATCAGCGGTTCTGCCTGCTGGGCGGTGACCATCCCACCAACTGACAGGAGGCTGAAACCGAGCAGCATCAACGTCTGATCCAGACAACGCAGACAAACAAAACCCAGAGGAAGAGAAGGATGGATTTACAAAGGAGGAATGAAAGGAAAGCAGCCGTGAAGGTGAATAATGGACTCAGCAGGACGAACTGAAGACAATTAGAGACTTAAAGGTTCACAGGAGGAATGAAGTCCAGGACGAGTCGGAGCCGATTTCAGGTAAATCCAGATTTAAAGAGTCGCAGCGTTTTGCTTCTCCTGCAGGAAGGAAACTTCAGCAGCTCAGAGAGAAACGACTTCAAGAAATTAAAACTGCCGCTTTGTTGTTTTTACAGAAACAAACTGAAACTAATTCCTTCCTAACGTTGCAGTCAGCAGGACTTAAGGCGACGTGATGATCCTGTTTGGTTCTGATCCGTCCCATCACGACTCTGAAGGCTGAATCTGGACTTAATGCAGTTTGATCAGGAGGAGCTGCTGCTGCTGCTGCTTTTAATCAGGAAACGGCTGCAGAACCACGACTCCACCAATATCACTCATTTCTACTCATGCAGCGACTGAAAGCCTCGGTCAGGCCGGCCGCGTGTTCAGCGCCCAGCCTGGCGACTCTTGAGCCAGGAGCTGGAATCAAACCCGCAGGCCTCAGATCAACAAGATGGAATCATCAAACGTTCAGGTTTATTCTGCTGTCCGTGCTAAATGACATGCTACGTAGCGTTTCCTAAGGCATACCACAGGGCTGTGTGTTGGTTCACCTGACTCTCCTGTCTGTCTGTCATCGTTTCTTTTTGTGGAAACTTAACGCTCTGGGACAAAGTGGCAAAAGTCATAAAATATGAAATGACGGATTTGCTTTTAGAAATTCAGAACTCTGCTTCAGGCTACATTCTCACTCAGATCTGACTTTTTCAACGCAGTCTGATGGTTTCATGATCTGAGCTGCTTTCAGATCAATCGGAACTGAATGCGATAGTTTTCAGAGCGTCTGCAGCTGAACGCTCAGGTGGCATTTTCCGACAGACGGTGAGACTGGACGGAAACAACGCTGGAAACAATCACAGTGATGAAAGCAGACCGAGTCAGTGAACGCATCACATCCAAACAGGACCGGGTCAGAACCGGGTCAGAACCGGGTCAGAACCACTAAAGCTTGTTTGCTGTTAGCGGTTAGCTTTCTGACTGCTGTCGCTCTCAACAGCTTCAGAGTCGGCGGCCATCTTTACTGCCATGCAAAGAGCGCCACTGGAGGACGGCTACGTTCTTCTTCCTGGGTCGCTTTGGGTCGGAACCGTTCGCCCTGACGTCTGGTCTGATCAGGAGGAGGACCGTAGAAATAATTAGATTTCAGCAAAAAGTTACAATTTGAGCCTCAAGAGTAGCAGAAAAAGGTTTTTCTGCTTTTCTTCTGAATCATGTCAGTTTTGGTTCTCCATACAGAATGAACTTAAATAAATGTAATTAAATCAAAAGCAGATTTTTAAGAGTGAAATTTTGGAGCATTTCTTGTTCCTTCACTGATTAATGAGCGTTTGGGGTGAAATGAACCTCATTAGTTCATTTTCAGCTTTAAAAAACATTCAAATAAAAATCTAAATTTAGACGTTTATTTGATTTGTTTCCTTCTCGTTTGAAGCTGAAGAACAAACATGAAAAATGAGCAACAAAAATCTGAACTCAGTTCATTAACATTATTTTTACCATGTGG